AGACTGCGCACCGTCGGACTCTGGGTACCATGTTCCAGAAGTGTTGGCACGTTCGAGTATCCAATACGAACAGTCCGTTCCCGGTTGAGTATTCCAGCTCGCATACTATTCCTCCGCACCACTAGACAAGGATTGCGGAGCGTGTCCGTTCCCGCAGACGCCGTAGCTTGGATCATAATACTGCAAGCAGACATTTGGATGAGGCTTCTTGTGGTGTTGGAATGCAGGTGGTTCCCCAATAGCTGCTTGGATTGTTTGTTCGAGGTTATCCCTTCTAGCACTTTGGCTGAAGAACCTAACCACAAGGCGGCGGTGGCAAGCAAACCTATTTAATGGCGGTTAACGGTCGCCATGTCATAGTGTCGTCATTGAGACCTGCGACGTTTTGTAAGGTGTGCCAGAACTCAGCCCTCCACGCCCTGGTAACACTGTCGCTGCTGATCCGTGACTGCTTATTCTCCAGACCCAGGAGCCTTCTTATTTCGCAGACAACCTTCGCTGAAGGCCATTTCACTATCCGCCACATCTGGACGCGCCAGTCAGCCAACGGCTAGACTGACGGGCGTATAGGTCAGGCAATCGATACCGCTAATCGCTTGGCCACACTAGCTACCTCCGATGACAATGGTCTGTGAGGTCATGGCCAACTTTGTTTACCTAATATGGCAAAAGTAAACGAAGCTCCTCATGGCACGCCATCTATTAAAGTAAATCTACTTTCAAGCGGCAAAACTCGAACAGGCCAATGACATCGAGACGGGGGAAGGGGGTCGATACCAAGGTACTCCTTCTTCTGAAACTTCAGCGCATTCACCAATAACATGATTTGGACGGGTTCGAACTCTCAAAGGTCTAAAGCCCAGGGTGCTAGATGATCAAATAACTCGACCCCATTTACTACCGTGGTTCCAGCTGCAATGCTTGCTTTTTTAATGAGCTTTTATAACGCTCTCAACTGTGAGGCCAGAGACCCTTAATGAAGGCCTGACACGTGTAGAATTAGTAACAGGGCCGCTAACTGACTAGATAACAATCCTTCTCAGCGTTTCACATTGCAATGGCATTCTTACTTAAGTGAAATCCAATCGCCCC